AAATCTTTGATCTCACTTTGGAAGGATTTATGAGCGTAAGACGTGTAAACGAATCTCTTACTGTTCTACTGTGTAGACGAATCTCTTAATTTTCCAAGTTTTTTTCTATCACCGAATTTTTCTTAGGTCATGAAAGCTTCTGCTTCGTACATGTCTGTATTGCATGCTACGATTTAAATCGGGAGAAGTATCATCTGTTCCTACAGTATATCCACAGTTTTAAATCAACGCTCCGCGTCAGTGATAAATTATCCGTTGTGAACTTTTTGAATTTATGCGAAGAAGATGGAGTGTATGAACATATACAATATATACATATATACATATTTTAATAATAACATTAAAACTTTATTTGCATAAGAATATAATAAATATATTTTCTTATTATGTCTCTTTATGTTCGATGCGCAGTCGACGTTTTAATCTTTTTATCTGTGATATTTCTTTTTCTTTTCTTTCGCGTAAATATTCTACCATTTGATGACAAATGCTGTATATCATTTGCGCAATTTATCTTATGGCTTGAAAATATTCAATTCTCAGATCTATTAGAGACACAGCATCTTTTTTTCAAAGAACTTTTTTGTAAAGAAATTATCGACTACGCCGACTATCTGCGTTTGAATTTTTAAAAACGGTTATTTGAACGTAAAGATACACGTGTGTCTTTTTTCTTGCGCGCTAAAGTCCGCAATCGTTGATTATTATCGCAAATTATAGCTTGCTTTGTCGCACAATTTATTACAGCGAAATGCGTAATTGCGATTGATCGTTGCTAACATAAACATAGCGGTTTTACCCTGTAAAATTGTTCTACCTCCCTTGCGACATTGTGGAGGGGAGTGCATCACGGAGCTAGACCGGAGGACTCGATTGCCATCGTTTTCTTCGCGACGCCACTTCTCGTCTCGTACACAGTCGTTATTCACCTCGTTGGAAGGAGAGACGAGACGTGCACACGGTTTCCCGGAGTGATGGTTCAATGTGACGTTACACACTATTATGTCGACAAGTACCGTAAGCCCGTTGCTGAAGATCGGTCTCGGTTTGATTGGCATGTGGCCCGGCGCCTCGCACGCGACGCTTTGCTGGCTCTTTTACATGACTACCCTCGTCGCGATGCAGTACTTTCAGTACTCTTATGTCTACGCGCATCTCGATTTTAGCAATCTGACGGAGCTGATGGATGGTCTGGGTCTCACTCTGGACTACACCCTGACGATACTGAAGCTACTCAGCCTTTGGTTTAATCGTCGGTAAGCCTAGCGATCACTTGGTCGGCTTGATCTCTCGATCTCGATGTTTGATCGTCTGCGAGAGATGATTTGAGAGACACATCGGTGATCGGTTGTAGGATATTCGCGGATATTTTGGTCGGGATGGATGACGATTGGAAGGATTGCGGGACCGATTTGCGTGAATGCGTGATGATGGACAAGGCTAATTTGGCGCACCGTTGCTCCAACGCCATGATATCCGTGAACGCTCTCGCCACTTTTTTGTATTTTATCGATAGTTACGTACGTGGAAGTATGCTTTCCAAGGATGGACAGTTGCGCGAGTTTCCGATACAAATACAGTTTCCGTTCGAGGTTCACGAAACGCCTTTTTACCAGCTGGTCGGCCTGGGATTGTTTTTTCATGTGTTAGAAACGGCGACCGTAATAGCGATGCTAAATGCTTTGATTTTAACGTTGGTAAGTTAAAATAAGTTAAGAGACAAAAGCGGTTGTGAATTCTTTAGAAGTATCCATGAAGTAAAATTAATGTAATGTGGTAGTTAAAATGTTCTTTAACGGGCTAATATTAAAGTTTTCGTTGGATTTGTCGATCTCTGCTTGAAACTTTAGTTTTTGTTTCGAGGTACTTCACGTAAGCGGACAAATCGATATCGTGTGTCTAGAGCTAAGAGAGATTTCCCCCATATCCAAATCTAGCTCGGTATTTGCCAAAACGCTCGTCGTAAGGCACCAGAAGATCATATCGTTGTCGAAGAACATCGAAAGCTTCTTTTCATTCGTTGCTCTGTTGCAATTCGTATGGAACACTTTTGTTATTTGTGCCTTAGGATTCATGGTCGTGATAGTGAGTAAGAATAAACTGGTTCGGCTGCTGTAGTAATAAATCCTGTCATGTTTCTAGGACATTGCCTAAAAAAAATAATACGCTTTGAAAATATATATAATTAAAATGTTAATTATATTCACAATTACAATTACAATTACAATTATATTCAATTTAAAATATAATACGATGTACAACATATGAGAGAGAAAAGTTAGTTTATATTCAATACAATATTTAATTTACAGAGCAATTTTAAAATAAAATAAGAATACGTATTATGATATTTAGCAATAATATTTCGGAACATGTATTTTTATGTGGATATTTATCCAATTCTGATATTATCTCATGCTATTTGTAAACATTATTTAATGTTCCAGTCTTTAGGTACGAACATGACGAGTAAATCCGCGATGTTAATACAATTTATTATTCCATATCTGGCAGTAACCATAGAAGCTTTTGTATTTTGTTTTGCCGGCGAATATTTGAGCACTAAGGTAAGCATGCTACTTTTATTTTTATAAATTTTTTTCGTTATATTAGTAGATAAATATAGATATAGATAAAAATTAAATTTGAAACATAAGGCAAATAAGAACAAAACGCCGATGTTAATGCAAATAATATAAAATACAAATAAAAATATCTTAGAATTTGTTATAATTTAATTATACGAAATGACTAAACCATATTATGTGTTGTGATTGCGTTTATCTAAATGGGGATCTTTGTGTTCCTCCGATGTGTCACGTGTTATAGTCTCATGTAACAAGTAGTCTATAATCTCTCTATCTTTTTCAGAGCAGAGCTATCGGCGATGCGGCGTATGAAGCGGTTTGGTACGATTTATCTATTAGTGAATGCCGAATTTTGTTATTCGTAATCCTCAGATCTCAAAAGCGACTGACGATCACAGCTGGGAAAATCATAGATCTGACACTGGAAGGTTTTACCACTGTAAGTTTTTTGCTTTAAACTTTACATTGTTATTTTTTTTTAACATATTATGATTACCGAACAAATACCAATGTCTTTTAATAATACTTAACACGTTGGCTGTCGTGTGACGCCCCGGTATGTCACATCCCATTTGCTATAAATTAAGTGAACCATCGACGTGTATAATGAGTTATTTTGACAGTTACGTGGCATATTAGGAATACTTGTTTTTCACCAACTTTTAAGATGTAATCCAGCAGTATAATATTTGATCATGTAATAAGTTTTTTGAAAAGCTATGCTTATTTTTTGATATGTTGGCACATGTAGAATAAATGTAATAATACCTGCGGCAGCCAACGTGTTAATATACTCAGAAAATTTATTAATATGTGTATTGTATTGAGAGATCGTCTTTGGACTTGGACTAATTGTTTTTCTTAGTATTTCTTTCTGCGTGATATTCTTTTAGATCATGAAAGCTTCAGCTTCATATATTTCGGTTTTATACGCGATGTATTGAAACACGAATTTATCTATGCTGGTCATACGTATATCGTCAAATCATCGCGAGTGAAATAATAATGATGTACACACATTTGTAGAAATACTAATAGAGAAAGGTGATTATTATAATAGTTCTTCTTTTATTTTTAACAACCGTTGTTGGATCTTATTTATATAAATTGTTAATAGAATTTTTATGTACCTATCTCTAAGAATCTCTTTTTTTTTTAATTTGAGATAAGATAGCAAATTAGTTAAATTCGCGAAAATTCTCCTCTGAAATATTTCGTTGATAATAAATAATGTGCTTTGAACGTCAATATTTTACTTCCAATTCTCTGTTAAGTTACAAGTATAAATTATTGCAAAGTTTTTAAAAGAGATAAAAATAATTTAACAATAATATTAAAAAGATAAATTATATACAGTATACTTATGGTATACTAATCACTATACAATTTACTTACAATTTTAGCTTACAAATTTTCGACTAAAAATTATAATTCCCGTTTTTATCGCCTGATATATTTCTCTGCATAGAATAATATTTTCTTTTTCCGCAAATGACAGGCTAATATTCAACCAATTAATATTCCTGCCAATACGACCAATTATTGTATTATATGTCATTTATGTTCACAATGCATAATTTTTTGCTTTTTTTTATACTGGAGAATCACTATTATGTTTTTAAGTAAAATTATTTATTAATTCTCTGTATTACTACGTTCAGTTTATATGTCACATTTGATGATGATATTTTCCACATGTATCTTTTTTTCTGATTGCCAGAAAAAAAATTGTAATCGCCTCTGTCATCGCAATTTAGTTTATTATTTCATGACTGTCGTCGTACTGCAAGATACATAATTGTAATTGATCGAGAGGCTCACGCTACCTCGTATTTTTTCTACGGGGTAGTTTTACTCTTTGCGAAATTGCTAAGTACACGCGAAGGAGTGGGGAATGCACAAGAGTTTAAAGACCTCGTTTCTGTATTTTTCTCGCGGCAACGTTCCTCCCCGATAGTCGAATCCATTTTACCTGAACAAAAATGACGATTTGATTAAGTGTTATAACTTTTGATATAAGTCTACAAGTCGCTATGTTAACAAGCAATATAAATTCCTCGTTAAATATCGGTCTCGGAATGTAACTCGTTTCTTCATGTAGAATCGTTCTTCTGGTTTTCTTACATGGCTATTCTCGTCACCATGCGATACTTTCAGTATTCATATCTCTTTACGCATTTGGGCACGAACGATTTCTCCAAGTTAATGGCTGCTTGAATATTACTTTGGATTATACCCTAACATTTCTAAAGCTGTTAAGCTTTTGGCACAATTGTCGGTAAGATTTGCAGCTATCAGCTGAGGGATTTCTGGACATTATTTGAGATGAATACGGTTGCAGAATATTCTCAGATTTTGATCGCAATGAACGATTGACTGGAACGATTGCTCCATGTACGTATCCGCACGCGTGCGTGATGCCGAGCAAGGCCAGTCTGGCGCATCGGTGCTCCACGTTACAGTTTGTTCGCTATTTTCTACTTCATCGGCATTTATGAGTCACCGTACGATCTTCACGGATGGGAACCTCAGGGTGTTTCCGATGCAGGTACAGTTTCCGTTCGAAACTATATACACCCATTGACCCATTTTTTCATATATAGAAAACGACAATTATAATTGCCGAATTCTTTGATTTTGACATTGGTAATTCAAGGAATGTGAACTTTTAAAACCATTATAAATGGTTAATGAATAATGAATAGTCAGTTTATTGGGATGCCGCACAAACTTTCGTTAATCAAATTAAATAGCGCATTTTTTGAATTGTTGCGAACGTGTCTCGAACTTTCAGTTCTTGTTTCAGTTTTTGTTACTTTATGTAAACAAATAGATCGATATCATGTATGCCAAAGACCTCGAGAAATTTCCACTGACACAATTTATATGAAACATCGTAGTTATTTATTCCATAAGAATCGTGATCGTGATAGTAAGTAAGAATGTTTTACCTATCGCGGAAATTCAGTGTTGCTCGAGGACAAAAAATTTGTTCCGAAACTTCGTGGTATGGCAATTTTTCCGCTGCTTTGATATCGCTATACTTTATTCGCTCATTTTGGAACTGCTTGAAACGTCTGAAAAATAAAACAATTTATAATTTGATTTATCCAAAGCAATTCTAAACAGAGAAATCTCGTAAAATCTCGTACTTGCATAGCAATAACACCATTTCTCTCAGAATAATGCGTTATCCCGTTTCCTTGACACTAAGATTATATCCTTAGAGCGTTGCATGTAGAATATAATTGACACTAAGATTATATCCTTAGAGCGTTGCATGTAGAATATAATGCCGATCCAATAATTAAAAGCACGAACATGCACGAGATATTATACGACTTACTCCTGATTAACATAATCTAACATTCCGTATAATCATTACGCAGTCTATATAGGCACGGACGTGGTAAACCCGGATTATAATTTATGTAATCCATTATTCTGTATATCGCTGTTACATTCGTTTTCTGTTTTGCTGGCGATTACATAAATATTAAGGTTAGCATCCTTTTGTTTTTAACTGCTTCTGGGTGTGAGTACTTTTTTCTATTGTTTATAAAAGTATACTTACTTCTTAATTTTAAGCGACGAGGCTCTGTTACATGGTTGCATGATCCTTCCATGCGAGTTCAGCTCGTATTGCTGTAACTGACGCTTTAAACAAACCTTTTTTCTTTCTCACAGTCAGAGCAAGTCCATCATTAATGCCGCATACACTTTGGTACGAATTGTCCACCAGCGAATGCTGAATCTTATTGATAATTATCAGAGCTCAAAAATGATTGCTGATCACAGCTGGAAAAATCATCGATTTGATTTTACAGAAGGATTTACAATAACGTAAGTATTGCAATTAGATATCATATTATTGAAACTGTACCGTGGTATGTACATTATAATAATATTTAAATTTTGGAGAATGTCCATTTGCTTTTTAATGCTGTTTGTATAAGAATTGGCGTCATACATGTCAGTATATTAAGCCAATACTAAACGCAATGTATTGAAACTTAAATTGACTTATTACGAGTAATTAACTTTCGTTGATTATGTAAAAGAAGGCTTATAAAATAAAAATTGATAAACTTTATTAGACAGTTGAACATGTTTTACTACTTGTTGGAAAACGCGAAATTGAAAATGGAAATTATAATTTAACAATACATTTGTGTCAATATTTTTTTGCGACAATACCTAATTAAATTATATTACTTTTTATTAACAAATCCATTGTGTTGCAATAAGAATATATATCAAGACCTTATTCAAATTTCTAACTACTTTCTATATTGTATTGACGTAACGATACATTTCACAATCAGCAACTTCTTCGTTCAATCCAACTTTTTCAGAATCTTTTTACTTCGCCGGTAAATATTATTTCAAATTATTACCTACATCAAATTATTTGCAGGAGAGACGTACGTATATATGTTCACCCGCCTGTAAATCAAAAGAATAAATTACTCGCTATTACACGATTCGCCTCCAGTCTGGGAGATGTACTTTTATCACTTATTTATTTAAAAACTTGCAAACGAACTACGAACATAATTTAGTTCATTTACTTAGAATGCGTAATGCAATAATTACAATAATTCAGGCGGAAAAAGAGATGGATACTTGTATTTTGTCGACGAGAAATTGCGTTGTCAAAGAGACAAGGTTGAAAAAGAACTGACGCGTAGCGTTGTTCACCTTTTTTTTCGTTACTTTACAATATCTCCGTTACTTCACGATCGGAATAAACGTTATCAGACTGTTTAATGGGATCATATACGACGTCCATACGAATAATATTCTGTCTCTACTTATCATTATACTACGCGAGGTATAATAACGATTAATCCATATTCACCGGGAGTGGGGACGTATCGCGTGGGGGTGCACTTGGGGAAAACGGTCGGTGCACTTTCAGTTTCTTCTTAAAACCAGCGCACCGAATGTGCCGATACTAATCTGTATTTTCTTACGTACCGAAAACTATTGGCGAATGAAAATTACGAGTTCTGTCAGCCCGGCGCTGAAAATATGTCTTAAATTTTTTGGCGTGTGGCCGGATGTATCGTATTCTACTGCCTGTTGGTTGAGTTTTATGTTAAGCATGTTAATCGTACAGTACTTCCAGTATCTGTATGTATTCAAGCATTGTAATGTCAGCGAACTCTTGAATTTTATTGACGGTCTGACAGCATCTTTATACTATAGTTTGACATTTTTAAAATTGGCTAGTTTGTGGATACATCGTCGGTAAGTTATTATATATTACGCTGTGTATAATGATACAACTACGCGCATATCGCCGCGAAACAAGATTTCTTAGTTATTTAACACATATCATTAATCTGATGTTCTCTAATCGGAAATGATAAGATTTATTGATATTAAATCGATAAACCTTAGCTCGAACATTGGTGGATATACAAGATTAGTGGTCTCGTCAAAAGATATGCAATGTTACTATCTTAATATTTGACGGATTAAAATAATATATTACAGAGTTTTTCATCAAATCCTGACTGCTATGGATAATGATTGGCGCGAGTGCATCAATATCGATCAGCATTTGCATATAATGACAATTAAAGCTAATGTATCGTATATCTTTTGTAACGCTATGTTGAGCTTCACCGCGATCGCTACAGTAATTTATTTCTTAGGCGAATATGTAACTCGTTTTATATTTTTAACTGAAGATTACAATGACACTTTACGACGGTTTCCCGTAAGAACAGAATTTCCTCACGAAACTCTACAATCGCCGATGTTTGAATTTCTTTTTGTGATATTATTGTTACACGCAATGTTACATGGAGGCGCGGCCGGTACTGTAGACGGATTGATCTTTACTTTGGTAATTCTCATATTTTACATGTATCTCATTTATTTGCAATTAAATTTTACGAAGTGATTTGTGAGGCAAGTTTTTAACCACAAAATATTGTTACATTAAAATATTGCTTCAAATAACTTATATAATTTTATTATATACTGCTACGTTTTTGCATAAAAATTTTGAAGTACATATGGATATTTTAAGGTCAGAAAAATATTATATTTAAATTAATATTTTATTTTAAAAATACTACGCTTATTATATCGTTATACATGAAAAACAATCTTTAAGAGAAAAATCTCTTTAATAATTGGAATATTTACAGAAATTTTATTTATTTTAGGTGTTTCATGTGAGCGGACAAATCGATATAATATGTAAAGAATTCAGAAATATCTCTGAGAATATTATTCTTCACAAATCTTCCGTATATGAATTAGGAATGCTGATCGAAAGACACAACAGAATTCTTTCATTTTCCGAAAATATTGAGAAACTCTTCTCTTTTATCGCATTAATGCAGATTGTTTGGAATACGCTAGTTATTTGCAGCTTAGGATTTGTCTTCATAATTGTATGTACTGTTATAAATATATATATATATATATATATATATATATATATATATAATAGTTGTTTTCATATATTTTATTGTTCTACATTTCTATTTTTATTGTTCATTGAACCAGTCTACTCATACTGACGAAGTTGGTGTTTTCGCGTTAGTAAAAAACTTGTTTTCTTCTCTTGGTACAATAATAGAACTCTTTATTATTTGTTTTGTCGGAGAATATCTTAGCTACAAGGTAAGCATTTAAAAGTGATTAACCATAATAATGTAATTTTTTAATAGAATAATTTCTCATAATGATGGAAATATAATATAATATTAATATATGTAAAATATATATAATATGTAATAAAACATTATTCTCTAATAAAAATATTTTAATAACTTGTGATAAAATATTAAGTAAAATAAACAATGTTTGAAATAAAAATGTTCTCTGTTCCAAAAAAGAATCTATTTCACAAATGTTTTCTAATGTGTTTAAACGTAATGCCAACGTTTGTGTTGCAAATGATAATTAAAATATTTCTAAAATTGCAACATTGTAAAAAACAATTAACCTTTATTAACTATAAGTACAGAACATTTTGTATCTTGAAAATAGAAGTAGAACGGGATAAATGAAGAGCTTATTATTTAATTTTTTATCAATTATCTTTTCTTACTTTTTAATACTTTACTACAATATTTCTTTAATGTTTACAAGAATACTAGTAAAGAATTTGAATGTCAAATAAATTAAACAAATAAAAATAAATCTGAAAGAAAAACATCTAAAGCTAATTGTATGGTCTTTAGGGTAAATCAATTACCAATGCATCATATGAATCGCTGTGGTATAATATGCCGTTAAATCATAGTAAAGTTATAATATTCATAATAATGAGATCTCAGAAGCGATTGGCGATCACGGCAGGAAAAATGATGGATATGTCATTCGAAGCTTTTACGAGTGTAATCTTTCAAACTATTTGTATACAGGAAAACAAATTTATTTCATACTTATTATTTAATTTTATACTTAATACATTATTTTATAAAATTTATAATTAATTTTGAAATCTATTGTGACATGTGTTCTTTGTGCATGAATGTAGTATGTTGAGAAAATTTAATTATTAATATTATTTTTTTAGATTGTGAAGGCATCAGCGTCATATGTATCTGTCTTGAATGCTATGTATTAATACAGAAGGATTGCTAAAATTGTAATGTTATCAACCTCAACAGTAGACATTGTGATAATAAATAAAGAATTAAAGCGTTATTAAACCAAAATATAACTGTCACTTAACGTTTTATATTTATTGAATGTAAATTGTAAAATATATAAATTTTACAAATTAATATTAAATTTAATGTAAATTTAAATACATTTTTTGTTTTTTTTTGTATCATTAATTGTATACTTTGACTAAAAAAAAAATGACATAACTGCGGAGCGCATCGACAGTTTAAACCATTGAACCTTTATTAGAAAGTCATATATAAAAAGTAAGGTACGTATAGGTACATTTCATTGCGTGTATTTGTAAACGTCTACAATATCTCCAATTGCATACTTCTTATTACTGGAATATATTCCATAAGCGAGTACATTGCACAATAACATTTCCTGAATTATTGAAAACAATTACTCGTCATTATATGATTTGACCTTAGTCCGAGAGTTTTATTATTCTTCTCTCATTTTATTTCTTTAGAAAACAGAAATTGAACAGTAAGAACACAATTTAATTCCATTCGTTTAGAATACTTAATGTGCAATTACCGTTGTCCTGTCGCGCGTTTAATGATTTCCACGATTGCTGTGAAACGCGATGAGCATCTGTTGCGGTGCAGAATTATTTCCGAGAAGATAAATCGTAAAAAACTAATGCATGAAAAATTATTCTTTTCTTTCCGTAATTTTATCTATACGTCTCTGTTACTTCAGGATCAAAGCACACGTTTTGCTTCCGATGTAGACTGTTAGTGAAAGCATAGGATATTTATTCAAATAATGAGTTCTGTCTCGACTGACCATTATACTACGCAAAGTATAATAGCGATTGATCCATGCTCACCTGAGTGGGGATGCACTGTGTGGGGATGAACTGTGTGGGGAGGATCGGATCATGCAATTTTATTTCTTTCTGAACTAGAGTACCGAACAAATGTGACGAGGCTAATTTCTATTTTTGAATACTTTCTAAATTATTTGCAAATGGTGATCACGAGTACCGTTAGCCCGACGCTGAAAATGGGTCTTCAATTTGTTGGCATGTGGCCGGATGTACCGTATTCTACTATTTATTGGTTGAGTTTTATGTCCAGCATGCTGATTATACAGTGCTTCCAGTATTTGTATATTTGTGACCATTTTAAGATGAGCGAGCTTTCGAATCTTGTCGATAGCTTGCCTTTGACTTTGGATTACAGTTTGACTTTACTTAAATATACCAGTTTGTGGATGTATCGTCGGTAAGATGCAATGTCACACTGCATAATAGTACAACTTTGCTCAATAGTCATATTCAGAGAACAAAGATTTACCGAAATACAAGATTTTTTCTCAGTTTTTTAATACATATAGTTGATTTAATGTTTGATGAATAAAAATGAGAAATAATAACATTATATAAATATTAATTCAATATTAGTACATATAGGTAACATCGGTATTTCTAGGAACAAAAGTGTGATATATTTCTATCTAACAAATAATAATAATAATATATTGCAGAGTCTTTCATGAAATCCTTGCTACTATAGATAATGACTGGCGCGAGTGCATCAATATACACCAGCATTTGCATGTGATGACAATCAAAGCTAATATGTCGCACTCCATTACTAATGCTATGTTTAGCTTTAATGCAATCGCCGCCGCATTGTACTTCTTAGGCGACTACGTAGTTCGTTCCGTATTCCTAACTGCAGATTACAATGACACTTTAAGGCAGCTTCCTATAAAAATACAATTGCCTTTTGATAGTCAACAGTCGCCGATGTTTGAGTTTCTTGTTGTAACGTTATTTTTACATATAATGTTACACACATTCACAGTATCTATTTTTAATGGGCTAATTTTTACTTTGGTAATTTATATTTTGCGTCAATATTTTCGTACTGGAACAATTTATAACGCAAAATTGTAACTGTGGACATTTTTATATCAAAATTTAAATAAATTGTAAAGTTTTATAATATATAAACTGCTCTAGTTCTCCTTTACAAATTTTAAGTTACAACTAATGCCAGTGTTAAAGATATTTCGAAGTCAAGTTACAGTATATTATACATTACGTGAGAATTATCACGATATATATATATATATATATCTCTGATTAGAAAAACATATTCTTTACAATAATAATATTTTTTGTATATGACTGAGATTAAAAAAATATATAAGTATATTTTAGGTGCTACATGTAAGCGGACAAATTGATATAATATGTCAAGAGTTCAGAAATATTTCCAGGAATACTTTTCTATGTTCCCTACCTTCATTTGGAATACTAGTCGAGAGGCATAACAGAATTATTTTATTTTCCGAAAATATGGAAAAGCTCTTCTCCTTTATCGCGTTAATGCAAGTTGTTTGGAATACATTAGTTATTTGTTGCTTAGGATTTATCGTCATAATTGTAAGTACTGTAATTAATGTATGATGATTGATATCGTATAAATTATTTATTTCTATTTCTGTTGTTCTTTGATTTAGTCTATCCATAATGAAGCTGATACATTTGTATTCGTGAAAACTGTGTTTGGTTACTGTGTCATATTTATTGACGTCTTTGTCATTTGCTTTGCCGGAGAACATCTTAGTTTTAAGGTAAGTATTCAGAAACGGTTAATTATAGACACACAATTTTTTAACACAATATAGTTGTGCTCTCTTAATAATGCAAGTGCATGACATTGTTTTTTAATAAAGATATTTTAATGTATTATAATACATAAACAAATTAAGTAATAACATAAAAAAATGTTTAAATAAAAACATATGTTATTTTATAAATTTATCTTAACATTTTCATAATAATCACATCTCTTTAAAAAATATTTTAAATATTGCAGTATGTTTGTGTCATTAATTAATTGTTTATTATGCATAAACAATTTTTGTATTTTAAAAATAACAATAGACATAAATTAAATAAAACATTTCTAATATAAATTATATTATAATTTTTTTGTAATGTTGGTGTTAATACTATAGAAAAAATGTTCTGTGTTAATTTATCAATTTTCAACTATTAAATTACGTGTGAATTTAAAAGGAGATAATGTACTTAACACAACTTACATTATTCTTTAGAGCAAATTAATTGCAAATGCAACGTATGAAACGCTGTGGTACAATATGCCATCAAATGCGGGTAAAATTATAATATTTATATTAATGAGATCTCAGAAGCAACTGACGATTACGGCAGGAAACATGATGGATATGTCATTTGAATCTTTTACAAATGTAATTTTTCAAACAATTTGGACTTCTTATTAAAAGACAAATTTATTCTCCTTATAGTTAATTTTGGGATATTCTGAAACATTTTTTATGCATAAAAATAATTTATAAACTAAATTTAATTCTTAACTATTTATTGTTGTAGATCATGAAAGCATCAGTGTCTTATATATCCGTCTTAAATGCTATATATTGACACAACAAACGCAAGTATTTTCTGAAGTTATAACATAATTAATATAAAGTAAATTAAAATAAAATAAATTAAAAAATATAAACAACAAATTTTAAAATGTTTATTAAAAGAAGTTGTCAGCAAGTTAGTAATTACCATTTAATATAACTATGCACATGTTAAAAAAAAGCAAGTATATAACTAAAAGTAAGTTTTCGTTTTTTATATGTTATTATTATAATTTACATCCTTACTTGAAAAGGTATATAGCTGCAGAGAGTGTTAAAGATTTAAAAGATTATATGGCACATGTATACAGTTTGCGTAGACTTATCTATTGTATTTCTTATGTTATTTTTTATTGTATTTTTGTATTTTTTACTTAACATCTATAATATTTCCAATTGAAAACTTTTTATTGTCGAAATATATTTCATAATCAAGTCTTGCACAGTAACATTTCCTGAAACATTAAAAGTAATTACTCGTTATTATACGATTCAGTCCCAGTCAGAGTTTTGCTATTCTTCTTTCACTGTATTTCTTTAAAGATCAGCGATTGAACTACACGATATAATTCCATTCGTGTAGAATACCTAATGTGTAATTACCATTGCTTTGTCGTGCGTTTAACGATTTTCGCAATTGGTAGTAGGAAATGTGGCATTTATCTTTTTTCGATGGAATTATATTTCCAAGAGACAAGATTGCAAAAAAAAACTAGTTAATGCATGGATAGCTGTTTTCTTCTTCTATGATATGTATGCAATATGTCTCTGTAACATCATGGTTGAAATACACTTCATGTCTTTCTGACATAGACTGTTAATAAAATTTTAAAATGTGCGTACAAATAATGAGTTCTGTCTCGGCTTCTATCTCATTGTATTACGCGACATATAATAGCGATTGATCCATGTTCACTTGAGTGGGGATGCACCGTGTGGGGATGGACTTGGAGAGACGGACCATGCAATCTTATTTCCTTCTGAACTAGAGTACTGAACAAATGTGCTGAGACTAATATCTCTATTTCTAAATATATTCAAAATTATTTGCAAATGGTGATCACGAGTACCGTTAGCCCGATGCTGATAATTGGTCTTCGATTCTTTGGTTTTTGGCCGGGTGTATCATATTCTACCATTCATTGGCTGAGCTTTATGTCGAGCATGCTGATTATACAGTACTTCCAATATTTGTACATATTTACTCATCTGAAGATCAGCGAGTTAACAAATCTTGTTGACAGTTTGATGGTGACTTTAGTTTACAGCTTGACATTTCTGAAATTGATTGGTCTGTGGATACATCGGCGGTAAGATAATCATAATGTAATATACGACGTTATATTTCAATCATGCTAAATCGTCGTGTTCGAGAAATAAGATTGTTCTTTAGTTTCTTAACATAAATTCGTAATCCTGTTTTTCCTAACTAGAATAGCCGACTTGAATATCATTATCTAAATCTTATTCGAAACATTGGAATATACAACATTAATTTCAAGAAGAAAATAAATATTATTTATATTTATAAGAATCTGACTAAAATAACGTATTAAAGTAACGTATTGCAGAGTTCTTCATAAAATTTTGGTGGATATGGATAATGATTGGCGCGAGTGCATCAACGTCGATCAGCATTTACATATAATGACAATCAAAGCTAACGTATCACATTTCTGTTCTAACGTCTTGTTAAGCATTAATACGATTGGTTCGGCACTTTACCTCTTAGGCGATGACGTAGTTCGTTTTATATTTCCAACCAAAGATTACAACGTTACTATACGGCAGCTTCCTATAAAGATACAATTTCCCTTTGAAACTCAACAATCGCCGATATTTGAATTTTTCGTTGTATCAACATTTTTACATGGGATGTTACAAGTATGGTCGATCGCTATTCTAAATGGATTGATCATTACTTTGGTACTTCATATTGGATATTTGTTATTTTCAGTTTTTATTAATTTTTTACGCAATATAACAATTTACATATAAACTTAAGCGTAAATATTATTCCATGAAAATTTTATATTCATTAATTTTCAGAATTTTGTTACGCGTGACACAACACACACAAATACATGTTACATTTTTATATTAGAAATTTTGAAATTTATTGTCCAGCGTCAAGAGTATACATATATATATATATATATATATATATATATATATATATATATATATTGTTATAAAATAATATAAATTAAATATATTATGTAAAATTTTTACATTTATTGTATCTATGTATTGAAAACATAAAAATTATTTTTACGTACATGTAATAACAATAATTTTTGCAAAAATTTAAGTATATTATAGGTGCACCATGTAAGCGGACAAGTTGATGTAATATGTCAAGAGTTCAGAAATATTTCCAGGACTACTCTTTTGTATAGATCTTCCTTATCTTCGTTTGGAATATTGGTCAAGAGACATAACAGAATCATTTCATTTTCCGAGAACATCGAAGAACTCTTCTCCTTCATTGCGCTAATGCAAGTTGTTTGGAATACACTAGTTATTTGTTGTCTAGGATTTATTATTATACTTGTAAGTACTGTAATAAGTATACAATAGATGTTGTTATATATTTCATGTATTTCTATCTTTATCGTTTATTGAACTAGTCAATTCATAACGAAACTGGCGTTTTTGCGTTAATGAAAACTATGATTGCTTATTTGGCTATAACAATGGAGGCCTTTATTATTTGCTTTGCCGGTGAATATCTTAGTTTTAAAGTAAGTATTCGGAAGAGTGATTAATCATAAAGTATTGAATACGTTTACTCTGATTTAATAATAGAAATTTATGCCATTGTGTTTAAATAAAAATATATTAATATGTTGCAAGGCAATATAAAATATTATTTAAGTTAATCAATTTTAAGTAAATAGAAATGTTTTTTATTTTAAAAAAGTTTTATTTTTCTAACATGTAAATATCTTTTAAAGTACTAACAACATATCTGCCATAATAAAACACATACATTTATTTATTATAAGATATTTATCACTTAATAGTATATTGTAAATACAAATAAATTGTTTATAATACTTAAATAAAAAGAGTAATGGAATCAATGAAGAATTTATAATAATGTTACTACAATATTTTCTCGATATCGGTAATAATACTGGAGAAATTTTTTTAAAAAAGTTAAATGGATGAAAACACGAACATAAAAAAGCCATTATATTTGATAGTATTTGCATCATTTTTAGGGCAAATCAATTGCCAGAGCAACATACGAGACGCCATGGTATGATATGCCGTCAAAACAAAATAAAATTATAATATTTATATTGATGAAATCACAAAAGCGACTGGCAATCACGGCGGGAAAAATGATGGATATGTCGTTCGAAACCTTTACAAGTGTAATTTAAAACATTTTTTAATCATCTATTTATTAAGAGATAAATTTATTTTACTGAATTAATTTTGAAACTGCTACGACATGTGTCTTTATAGATAAATATAATTTACAGATTTAACTTATACATATAATATTTATTACTTGTGTTTTTTTAGATTATGAAAGCGTCAGTATCATATGTATCAGTTTTGTATGCTATGTTATGATACGAACAAAATCAAGCAGTATCTATTTTCTGAAAGTATATTACGTAGTTAAAATAAGCCGCAAAGTTAAAATAAGTTAAAAATATTGAAAATAAATTAATAATTAAATTAATATTGTTGGTTACTAATTGTAGTTTCATAATAAAGGGTTAAAAATTACACAAATTTAAATTACTATGTATAAAAGTATTTATGTATAATAATGTTTTATTTCTCGCGTATGATATTATTATTATATTTTATCTTCGTAAAAAAGATACGTAAATGCAAACGTTTCGGACATTTACTTTTTTCTTAAAAAATCGCATATTTATACTTTGTTTATATTTCTTATTTTGTATATTTTGTTGCTTACATTCGTACTAGACGTAATATCTTCAATTGCAAATATCCTACTTTAAAAATTTTTTTCAACAAACGAGTTTTTTGCAATAAAGCCTTGTGTCTACTGTGCTAGAAATTGCTCCGAGATCTCGGACGGAGAAAGAATTAACCAATTGCATTGGTCAATCAGCCAAATTGTTTAAATATGATTGGTCAGTTCTTCCTCCGTCCGAGATCTCGGAGCAATTTCATAGTATCGAGGACATAAGGATCAACACTTATTGAATTAAAAAAAAATTACCCATTATTACATCACCAGTTAGAAAGTTCAGTTGTTCTCCCCTCATCATATTTTTTTAATAATTAGAAATTTAATTAAAAATGTTACGTATAGTTGCAGAGTGCATAAAAGAAATTTGTTATATTGACGTTTTATACTAGAGACTATAAAGGGTCATGTGGCATATACAGTTTGTATAACTTTATTTCTTCGTATTTTAATATCATTCTTTATTGTATTATTATATATTTAACTTAACATTTATAATATTTTACACTGCAAACTTTTCATTATCGAAATTTATTTCATGATCAAGTTTTGCACAGTAACTTATCCTGAATCATAAAATGTAATTACTCGTTATTATACGATTCAGTCCCAGTCAGAGTTTTGCTATTCTTCCTTCACTGTATCTCTTTAAAGATCAGAGGTTGAAATATACGATATAATTCCATTCGTTTAGAATACCTAATGTAATTACAATTGCTTTGTCGTGCGTTTAATGATTTTTGCGATTGGCAGGAAACATGGTGAACATTTGTTTCTTTTCGATATAATTATATTTCCGAGAGACAAGGTTGCAAAAAAGTAGTTGAAGCATAGATAGCTGTTTTTTTTCTGCAATATCTATACAATGTTCTTGGAAATGTTACATGGTTGAAATGCACTTTAAGTTTTTCTGACATAGACTGTTAATGAAATTTTAAAATGAGCATACAAATAATGAGTTCTGTCTCAGTTTTTGTCTCGTTGTACTACGGGACATATAATAGCGATTGATCCATGTTCACCTGAGTGGGGATGCACCGTGTGGGGACGCATCGTGTGGGGATGAACGTGAAGTAACAGACTATGCCATCTTATTTCCTTCTGAACTAGAGTGCCGAACAAATGTGCTGATACTAGTATCTCTATTTCTAAGTATTCAAGAATATTTGCAAATAAAATGATCACGAGCACCGTTAGTCCGACGCTGATAATTGGTCTTCGATTTTTCGGGTTTTGGCCGGGCGTATCATATTCTACCATTTATTGGCTAAGTTTTATGTCGACTATGCTGATTATGCAATACTTCCAATATCTGTACATATTTAATCATCTGAAGACCAGCGAGTTAACAAATCTTGTTGACAGTTTGATGACGACTTCAATTTACAGTTTGACATTTCTGAAATTGGTTATTCTGTGGATACATCGTCGGTAAGATAATATATACTACGTTACATAAATTCTTAATCTTGTTTTCCAACTGGAAGTGGCCGACTTATAATAACATCGTCTAAATCAAATTTCAAACATTGGAATATAGAACATTGATTAATCTTAAAAAGAAAATAAATATTAATTATTTACATATTTATAAAAATCTGACTAAAAATACCGTATTGATGTAACGTATTGCAGAGTCTTTCATACAATTTTGGCGGATATGGAAAATGACTGGCGCGAGTGCATCAACGTTGATCAGCATTTACATATAATGACAATCAAAGCTAACATATCACATTTTTTCTCTAGTAGTTTATTGAGCTTTAATGCGATCGCTTCGGCATTTTATCTCTTAGGCGACTACGTAATTCGTTTTATATTTCTAACCAAAGATTATAACGCCACTTTACGACAGCTTCCTATGAAGATACAATTTCCTTTTGAAACACAACAATCGCCGATGTTTGAATGTTTCGTTGTATCACTATTTTTACACGCGATGTTACAAGTATGGTCGATGGCTATTTTAAATGGATTAATCTTCGCTTTGGTAACTCATATGGCATATTTCTTATTTTCAGTTTTTAATAATTTGTATATAGACCGATTTACATAAACTTATAAACGTAAACGCTATTATATGTAATTTTTACATTATTAATAAATTTGCAGAATTTTGTTAAATGACACAACACTTGCTAATATTTGTTACACTACTGTATTAGAAATTTTGAAATCTATTGTCAGCGTTAAGACTATGCGTACATATTACAGTAAAATACTATAAATTAAATATATTATGTAAAATTTTTACATTTATTTTATCTTTGTATTAAAAACATCAAAATTTTTTTTACATGCAATAATTATAATTTTTGCAAAAATTTAAGTATATTATAGGTGCTCCATCTAAGCGGACAAGTTGATATAATATGTCAAGAGTTCAGAAATATTTCCAGGACTACTCTTCTGTATGGATCTTCCCTATCTTCATTTGGAGTATTAGTCGAGAGGCACAACAGAATTATTTCATTATCTGAGAACATCGAAAAACTCTTCTCCTTTATTGCGTTAATGCAAGTTGTTTGGAACACATTAGTCATTTGTTGTCTAGGATTTATCATCATAATTGTAAGTAATGTGATAAATATGCAATAGTCGTTGATATATGTTTTATGTATATCTATCTTTTTCGTTTATTGAACTAGTCAATTCATAATGAAACTGGTGTTTTCGCGTTAGTGAAAACCGTGATTGCTTATTTTTCCATAATAATGGAAGTCTTTTTCATTTGCTTTGCCGGTGAATATCTTGGTTTAAAAGTAAGTATTCAGAAATGATTAATTATAAATTTTTTAATACAATTACGCTGACGTAATAATAGATATGTATGATGCTGTTTTTTTGAATAAAAATACATTATTATGTTGTAATGTAATATAAAATATTATTTTTAAGCTAATCAATTTTAATTAATTAGAAATATTTCTTATTTAAAAAAAAATTTATTTTACAAACATATGTAAATCTTTAAAAATACTAAACATATCTGCCATAATAAAATATAAAATACATACATTTATAAATTATAAGATATTTATCACTTAATAGTTTATTATAAGCACAAAATTTTTTATAATATTTAAATAAAAATAGAATCAGTAAAAAATTTTTGATATATTTACTACAATATTTTCACGATTGGTAAAAATACCACAAAAATCTTTTTCTTTTAAATAAGTGAAATGGATAATGATGAATATAAAAAAAGCTGGCATATTGACAGTATTTGCATCATTTTCTAGGGCAATTTAATTGCTAGGGCAACATACGAAACGCCATGGTATGATATACCGTCAAATCAAAGTAAAATTATAATATTTATATTGTTGAGATCACAAAAGCGACTGGCAATCACGGCAGGGAAGATGATGGATATGTCATTTGAAACTTTTACAAGTGTAAATTTTTAAATTATTAAATTATTAAAGACAAATTTATTTCACTTATTTAATTTTGGATGTGCTTCGACATGTGTATGTCGATAGATAAATATAATTTGTAGATCTAACATGTATAATATTTTACTTGTGTTTTTTAGATTATGAAAGCGTCAGTATCATATATATCAGTTTTGAACGCTATGTATTGACATCAACAAAATTGCGTAGTATCTATTTTCTGATATTATATATATATCACGTAGTTAATGTAAACCATAAAGTAAAAAGAAGTTAAATATATTGATAATAAATTAACAATTAATATAATATTGTAAGTTAATAATTGTTCAATATAATTAAGAGTCAAAGATTTACACGAACTTAACTTACTGTATAATATATAAAAGTATGTGCAAATACTGTTTTATTTCTCGTGTGTGCTATTACTATTATATTTTATCTTTATAAAAAAGATACGTAGATGCAAATAACGTTTCGGACACTGACTATTTCCTAGAAAATCGTATACTAGGTTTATATTTTTTATTTTGTACATTTTGTTCCTTACATTTGTACTAGACGTCTATAATATCTTCAATTGCAAACATCCTACTTTTTAAATTTTTTCAATTAATGAGTTTCTTGCAATAAAGTCTTGCATTGGTCAATTGGCCAAATTGTTTAAACATATGATTGGTTAATTCTTCTTTTGTCCGAAATCTTGGAGCGATTTCTAGCATTGTGGACACAAGGCTTAGCACCACCTAAATTAAAAAAAAAAATTAATTGTTATTACATCCCCAGTTAGAGAGTTCATTTGTCCTTCCGTCATTATACATATTCCTTCAAAGATCAAAAGTTTAATTAAAAAGGTTATGCAAAATGCATAACAGAAATTTGTTATTATATATATTGACGTTTTAATACTAGGGACTAAACGGTCATGTGGCATATACAATTTGTATAACTTTATTTATTAAATTTTTAATGTTATTTATTATTGTGTTATTATATATTTAACTTAACATTTATATTATTTTACATTGCAAATTTTTTATTATTGAAATTTATTTCATGATCAAGTTTTGCACAGTAACTTATCCTGAATCATAAAATGTAATTACTCGTTATTATACGATTCAGTCCCAGTCAGAATTTTGCTCTTCTTCCTTCACTGTATTTCTCGAAGGTTGAAACATACGATATAATTCGAATCGTTTAGAATATCTAATTTATAATTATAATCGTTTTGTCGTGCGTTTAATGATTGTTACGATTGTCAGGAAACGCGGTAGACATCTGCTTCTTTTCGATAGAATTATATTTCCAAGAGACAAGTTTGCAAAAAAGTAGTTGAACCATATGGATAGCTGTTTTTTCTTCTGCAATATCTATACATTGTTCTTGGAAATGTTACATGGCTGAAATACACTTTATGTTTTTCTGACATAGACTGTTAATAAAATTTTAAAATGAGCATACAAATAATGAGTCCTATCTCAACTTCTGTCTCGTTGTACTACGCGACGTATAATAGCGATTGATCCGTGTTCTCCTGAGTGGGGACGCATCATGTGGGGATGAACTTGGAGAAACGGACCATGCAATCTTATTTCCTTCTGAACTAGAGTGCCGAACAAATGTGCTGAGACTGAGTATCTCTATTTCTAAATATATTTAAGATTATTTGTACACAATGATCACAAGTACCGTTAGTCCGACGCTGATAATTGGTCTTCGATTTTTCGGCTTTTGGCCGGGTGTATCATATTCTGTCATTTATTGGCTGAGTTTTATGTCGAGTATACTGATTATACAATACTTCCAATATTTGTACATATTTAATCATTTAAAGGTCAGCGAGTTGTCAAATCTTGTTGACTGTTTGATTGTGAATTTATATTATAGTTTGACATTTCTGAAATTGGTTATTCTGTGGATACATCGTCGGTAAGATAATCTAATACTAATATACTACGTTATATTTCAACCTTGCTGAATTGCCATGTTTGAGAAATAAGATTGTGCTTTATTAACTTAGCATAAATTCTTAATCTTATTTTTCAACTGAAAGTGGCCGACTTAATATCATCATCTAAATCATATTTCAAACATTGGAATATTGTACATTAATTAATCTTAACAAGAAAATAAATATTAATTATTTATATATTTATAAAAATCTGACTAAAATAACGTACTAATATAACGTATTGCAGAGTCTTTCATACAATTTTGGCGCATATAGAAAGTGACTGGCGCGAGTGCATCAGCGTCGATCAGCATTTACATATAATGACAATCAAAGCTAACATATCGCATATTTTCTCTAACGGTTTATTGAGTTTTAATGTGATTACTGGGATATTTTACTTCTTAGGCGACTACGTAATTCGTTTTATATTTTTAACCGAAAATTATAACGTCACTTTACGGCAGCTTCCTATGAAGATACAATTTCCCTTTGAAACTCAACAGTCACCAATGTTTGAATTTCTTGTTGTATCACTATTTTTACATGCGATGTTACAAATATGGTCAATGGCTATTCTAAATGGATTAATCTTCACTTTGGTAATTTATATTGCATATTTGTTATTTTTAGTTTTTAGTTTTTATTAATTTTTATGTAACAGAACGGTTTCTGTAAGCTTATAAGCGTGAACGCTATTGTATAGAATTTTTACATTAATTAATTTGCAGAATTTTGTTACATTTCTGATGCACACAAATACATGTTACATTTCTGTATCAGAAATTTTGAAATTTATTGTCAACGTCAAGAGTATATTACAGTGAAATAATATAAATTAAATGTATTATGTAAAATTTTTATTTTATCTATGTATTTTATCATTTATTGTATCTATGTATTGAAAACATAAAAATTATTTTTACATACATGTAATAATTATAATTTTTGCAAAAATTTAAGTATATTATAGGTGCATCATGTAAGCGGACAAGTTGATATAATATGTGAAGAGTTCAGAAATATTTCCAGGACTGCTCTTCAGTATGGATCCTCCCTATTTTCGTTTGGAATATTGGTCGAAAGGCATAACAGAATTCTTTCTTTATCCGAGAACATCGAAAAACTTTTTTCCTTTGTCGCGTTAATGCAAGTTGTTTGGAGTACATTAGTCATTTGTGGTCTAGGATTTATCATCGTAATTGTAAGTATTGTAATAAATATGCAATAGTTGTTGTTATATGTTTTATGTATGTCTATTCTTTTATTGAACTAGTCTATTCATAATGAAACTGGTGTTTTCGCGTTAGTGAAAACCATGTTTGGTTATTTTGCCATAATAATGGAAGTCTTTTTTATTTGCTTTGCCGGTGAATATCTTGGTTTTAAAGTAAGTATTCGAAAAAAAATGAATTACCATAAATTTTTGTATATAATTACGCTAATATAATGATAGATATATATATAATATTGTTAAATATAAATATATTGATATGTTACAATAAAATATTATTTAAGCTATTCAATTTTATTTAAATAGAAATATTTCTTATTTAAAAGAAAATTTATTTTACAAACATATAAAAATCTTTAAAAGTACTGACAACGTATCCATGCCATAATAGTATTTAAGAATTACATAACATTTATTAATTAAGAGTTTATTATAAGTACACAATTTTTTATAATATTTAAATAAAAATAGAAACGGAATAGTAAAGAATTTTTGATATATTTACTATAATATTTTCACGATTGATAAAAATACCGCAAAAATCTTTTTTTTTTAAATAAGTAAAATGGACAATGATGAATATAAAGAAAGCTGGCATATTGACAGTACTTGCATCATTTTTTAGGGCAATTTAATTGCTAGAGCAACATACGAAACGCCATGGTATAATATGCCGTCAAATCAAAGTAAAATTATAATTTTCATATTGTTGAGATCACAAAAACGACTGGCAATCACGGCAGGGAAGATGATGGATATGTCATTTGAAACTTTTACAAGTGTAAATTTTGAAATTTTCAAATTATTAAAATATAAATTTATTTTACTTATTTAATTTTGGATGTGCTTCGACATGTGTATGTCGATAGATAAATATAATTTGTAGATCTAACATGTATAATGTTTTACTTGTGTTTTTTAGATTATGAAAGCGTCAGTATCATTTATATCAGTTCTGAACGCTATGTATTGACATCAACAAAATCGCGTAGTATCTATTTTCTGAAATCATCACGTAGTTAACGTAAACTTTACTACCGTAAAGTAAAGAGAAGTTAAATACATTAATAAGAAATTAATAATTAATATAGTGTAAGTTAACAGTTGTTTAATAAGAATCAAGAAATTACATAAACTTAAAATACTGTATATAAAAGTATGTGCAAATACTGTTTTATTTTTCGTGTGTGCTATTACTATGATATTTTTACTTTTTAAAACAGCTGGAAACTTTATCGGGCGTTTTGGCCATTGAATTTTATTAGAAAATTGCATACTGGGTTTGTATTTTATGTATTTTGTTAGATATATTTGTAACTAGACGCCTATAATGTCCTCAATGGTAAACTTCCTACTTTTAAAATTTTTTAATTAAACGAGTTTCTTGCCATAACACATTTGAATTATTAAAGGAAATTACTCGTTATTATATCCCCAGCCAGATAATTTTGTTCTCCCCTCATCATATTTCTTCAAAGACCAGAAGTTTAGTTGCATGAACACAATTTATTTTCCCTTGCATGGAATATCTAATATATGTATAATGGTCGCGCATTTAATGATTCTCGTGAATGGTAGAAAATGTGATAAACATGACCATTTCTTGTCTGTAATATTGCACTGTCAACGAAAAATGATTGCAAAAAGAAACTGTCGCGCAGCATTTCTTTTTTTTTTTTACTTTAGCTGCAGTACAATATCTATGTATGTTACTTTACGGTCGGAGTATACATTATCAGAGTGCTTATGGGATATTAAAGTAATGAGTTTTTTTCGATTCATCGTTGTACTATATGTGACATATAATAGCGATTGATCCACGTGTGTTTGAGTGGGGACGCACTCGTGTGGGGGATGCACTTGGGGAAACGGACGGTGCTCCTCATTTCCTTCTCAACTAGAGTAGAGAACAAATGTGCCGGAACTGATTTTTATTTTCTTACGTTTTTAAAGTTATTTGCAAATGATAATCACATCTAGTGTTAGTCCAGCGCTGAGAGTTGGCCTTCGATTTCTTGGCATGTGGCCGAATGATTCATATGGTACCATTTATTGGCTGAGTTTTACGTTGAGCCTGCTGATTATGCAGTACTTCCAATATTTGTATGTACTTGATCATTTGAAGATGAGCGAATTGTCAAATCTCGTTGACGGTCTGATTGTGACTCTAGATTATAGTTTGATGTTGTTTAAAATAACCAGTCTGTGGGTGCATCGTCGGTAAGACATTATATATCTGTGTGGAGTGGTTTAGCTTTGCTCTGTAACCGTATTTAAGAAATAAGAACCCCTCTCCATTTTTAAGCGCTTATTATTGATCTAATTCTCCCTGCAATCATAATATTATTAAAAAATCTTAGCTCCAACATTAAAACATATAATATCAGTTGTTTCACGAAAGAAAATAAATAACGCATCTATCTGAGACATATGACGAATTAAAGTAACATATATTGCAGAGTTTTTCATAAAATCCTGGCCGATATGGATAATGATTGGCGCGAGTGCATCAATATCGATGAGCATTTGTATATGATGACAATTAAAGCGAATATGTCGCATTTAATCTCTAATGCTTTATTGAGTTTTAATGCGATTGTTGCGGTACTTTACCTCCTAGGCGATTACGTAATTCATTCCGTATTCTTAACTACAGATTACAATGACACATTACGTCAGCTTCCTATAAAGATATATTTGCCCTTTGAAACTCAACAATCGCCGACGTTTGAATTTCTCGTTGCAACATTAATTTTACATGTGACGATAAATTCATGCATAATCGCTATTCTAAATGGATTAATCTTGACATTGGTAATTTATATTCGTACATGTACATATTAATTTCTTAATGATTTTTTATATATCTCATGTGTTGTAACGTATAATAAAGACGTAGGTACAAACATACTCTTACATTACAATTTTTTTGTAGTTTGTAAAATTTTGTTTTAGAAAAGTGTTACCTTATTTTTTTCGTAAAAAGTTATAAAGTATAATTAATGCCAGAAATGTTAGAAAAATTTACAATTATTTTTATACAACAAATTTGTGATTATTGAATATATTATTTAAAAATAATATATCCAATTGTATAATTGCATTTGAAATACATCTTCTTTTTAAATAAATGTTTTTAATATGTAGTAATTATGATTCTTTTTAAATTTAAGTCTATTTTAGATACTTCACGTAAGCGGACAAATTGATATAATGTGTCATGAAATCAGAAATGTATCTAACAATAAATCTACCCTTCTTCGTGAATCTACCTTACCTTTATTTGGAATGCTGATTGAGAGGCATAATAAAATCATTGCATTCTCCAAAAACATCGAATCACTTTTCTCCTTTATTGCATTAATGCAGGTTGTTTGGAATACGTTAGTTATTTGTTGTCTAGGATTTGTCATCATAATTGTAAGTACTGTAATACATATTCGGTAATTAATATTATATGTATTCAATTATTTTTTATAATTCATTGAATTAGTCTATTCATAATGAAACTGGGATTTTTGTGTTTGTGAAAACTATTTCTGGTTACTTTGTTATAATGATTGAAGCCTTTGTCTTTTGCTTTGCCGGAGAATATCTTAGCTTGAAGGTAAATATTCAAAATAGCTAATCGTATATACACAATCTTTTAATAACGTAATTATATTAACAGTGATGGAAATACATAACTGCTTTCTAATATAGAATATTTCAATATTCTTGAAAGATACTTTACCTGTGCTATAAATACGTTGGATAAATAAGACATAAATTTAAAAACACGCCACTGTATTTGACATTACTGATATCGTTTTCAGGGTAAATTAATTGCTAACGCAATATACGAAACAATATGGTATGATATGCCGTCAGGTCAAAATAAAATTATAATATTCATAATAATGAGATCTCAAAAGCGACTGACGATTACGGCAGGAAAAATGATGGATATGTCATTCGAAACTTTTACAAGTGTAATCTTCAAAATCTTTGGATTACTTAATTATAAATAGACAAGTTTATTTTATTTATACTTATTTAATTTTGGGTATACACTAATGTGACATATATCCTTTATGCATACATATGGGTTGTAGATCAACTTAATTTCCAAACTTTTATTTTTTAGATGATGAAGGCATCAGCATCATACGTATCTGTTTTGAATGCTATGTATTGACACAAAAAAGCGGTATACATGTGCTGAAATAATAACGTAATAATTATAAATCAATAAGTTAAAATAAATTGATAATAAAGACGACTAATAAATTAATAAATGTTATTTATTACACTTACACAAATTAAAATAATATTTAATAAAATTGTAAATAATAAAAATTTTTTTGTATGTTATTGTTAAATTACGTTTAATTTTAATTTTAAAAAACTATTTAGAATTACTGATTGCCTTCAACACGCTTCGACTATTAATCCTTTATTAGACCTTGCACATTCGTTTATAAACATTTATTTTGTAACAAAACATTAATGAATCTTTAATCGCACTCTTATTATTTTTCAAGTTTATTACATAATATCGGTAATAATTTCGTCCGCCAGTGAAAATCAATTTATTTCTTGATTAACTGGCGCAATATATACAAAATGCACATATATGATTTTGCTGATTTTATTACATAAGCAAGTTTTGCATTATAATACTTTATGTGCTATTAAAAAAAAATTATTGACCATTACATGATTTGACTTGAGTCAGAGTTGTTGCGTTTTCCCTTTATTTTACTTCTTTATTAAAGACCAGAAGTTGAACTGCACGAAGAACTGCACGACGAACATAATTCGGTTTCATTTGCTTAGAATATTTTATGTCATCATTATCGTTTTGTCGAGCATTTTACAATTTTCATAATTGGTAAAATACGCGGTAGATGTGCTTTTTGTCGATGTAATTGCGTTGAGACAAAAGACAAAAGCAAGAAGAAAAGTTTGCAAAAAAGCTGCCGCGCAGCAAGCTACTTTTCCTGTTACGTTAGCTGTACAATGTACATTATCGTCGTTATTTCTTGGTCAGAGAATACATTGCGAGACTGTTCATGGAATTAAAGCATTTTCAAATAATGAGTTTGGTCTCAACTTCTGTATCGTTGTACCACGCGACATATAATAGCAATTGATCCATGTTCACTTGAGAGGGGACGCACCTTGTGGGGTTACACTTGGAAAAACGGACAGTGCATTCTCATTTCCCTTTCAACTTGAGTACCGATCACATGTGCTGAAACTAATTATTATTTTCATAAAGTTTTCAAAATCAAAGGCAAATGACAGTCACAAGTACCATTAGTTTAGCCGTAATAATTTGTCTTCGATTTTTTGGTTTTTGGCCGGGTGTGCCATATTCCACCATTTATTGGCTGAGTTTTATGTTGAGCATACTGGTTACACAGTACTTCCAATATTTATATGTATTTGATCACCTGAAGGTCAGCGAGTTGTCAAATCTTGTTGACTGTTTGATTGTGACTTTATATTACAGTTTGACATTTCTTAAATTGGCTAATTTGTGGATACGTCGTCGGTAAGATAATGTAATATACGAAGTAATATTTCAATTTTACTAAATCGCCGTGTTCGAGAAATAAGATTGTCCTTCAGTTTCTTCACATACATTTTTAGTCTGATTTTTCTTGACTGAAGGTGCCTTAATATTATCATATTACTTTAAATATTAGAATGTAAAACATTAATTAATTTAAAAATAAATTATTATTAATATTTATATAAATTTAAAATAACATATGGAAGTAACGTATTACAGAGTCCTTCATCAAATTTTAACGGATATGGATGATGATTGGCGCAAGTGCGTCAATGACGATCAGCATTTGCATATAATGACGATCAAAGCTAATGTGTCGCATTTCTTTTCTAACGGTTTCTTGAGCTTTACAATGATAGCGGCAATACTTTACATTTGTGGCGACTACATAATTCGTTTTATATTTGTAACTGAGCATTACAATGATACTGTACGGCAGCTTCCTATAAAGATACAATTGCCTTTTGAAACTGAACAATCGCCGATGTTTGAATTTCTCGTTATAGCAATAACTTTACATGTAATGTTACATGTTTGCATGATTAGTATTCTGAATGGATTGATCTTTACTTTGGTAACTCATATTGCATAATTGTTATTTTTTCAGTTCTATTATGTACATAAGAAAGCGATTTACACCAACTAATAAACGCTATTGCATAGAAGTTTTACATTAATTAAATTGTAGACTTTTGTTACATATGACACAACACACATAAATACATGCTACATTTCTGCATTAAAAATTTCAAAATTTATTGTTAGCGTTAAGAGTATATTTTACAGTCATGTAATATTAATTAAATAAATTAT